AGGCATGATTGCTGCATGACATAAGACTACGTAATACGAATGTTCACCAACAATTCTACATTTATTTAAGAGGAAATTTTAAATAAGAAGTTGGATTTCAACGCAAAATTAAAAACATGGCGCTGTTTATTTTATATTTGCGAACCGTAGACGTCTTAACACTTAGATCAACTGAGTTTACGTTAATAATGAGAGGTTGTGTTCTCTTTTATTTACCCTTTACCCGTGGCTCCGTCAATGCAGAATAAAAATACCAAAAGTATTTTTATTGACTATGTGTTCTTCCAAACTTATCTCTACATCTAAGCCAAATTTCATCGAGATCCGATCCGTTTAGGCGGTAAACTTTAGCAAACGTCAAACCAGGTAAACTTTCGCATTTATAATATTAGTAAGGTTTCTGTTTCTATAATCTCAAATCACACTAACGTTTCAAAAATCCATGTACCCTTTTGCTTAGCTTTTAACTAGTTATTTATTGTGTTCGTAACACTATAAATGCGGACATAGAAAAGGTTATTCCTTGACCAAATGGAACATGAGTTATAATTCTCGTACCTTCCTTAATACTTGCCCACCGTAAATCATGCAATGGCACATCTGCCGGCGAAATAGAAAAATAACAATAAATAAAGGGAAAATGCGTCCGTAGCCGGCGACAACACGGGTTAAGCCCAAATACACGAGAAATGGCTACCGATCCTTTTTCTTACTTTTTTCTTGTCAATTTTGTCTTCGCTGACATTTTCTCATATTATTATTTCTGAACTTATAGATTTTTATAGATAAATTACGTCAATTTTATGACTAAAAGTCAGCTTTTAAAGTAAATGGAAAGAAAAATCTTACTCTTTATGATAATAACTTAGGTGTATCATATTGTTTATTAACTAGTAAATATTATAAACACTAAACTTGGTCAGTTATGAGTAATCTTTGTTATAAAAGGAGTTCTTTTCATAAAGTGGATAGTTTTATTTTCAATATAGAGCTTGTAAGCGTCATTTCAGTGCGTCCCCGCGTTCGGTGCATCACAATCATCACCCTGCGCCATTGTATATTGACAGTACGTGTCCCGAATGCAGCATCGTTTTCCGGGATTTTGTAGCTATTTTTATTCAGCAATCGATCGATCCCCGTTCGGCCGGATCGACCCCGCGTCGGCGGTTGAAGGGTTATCAGCCCGTGTAATTGGTTAGTTACGATTCATTACTGTTCACTGTATGTGATTTTCACTATTTTAATACTTAGGATTTTACAAAAGTGAGGATTTTTCAAAACCAAAATTACCAATATTTATTACTTTCCGAAATTCTCGAAATAGTTTTTTTTTTAATTCAATTGAAGAAGACTAAGGGCAGAATAATGATATGACGAAACTTAAACACTTCGCGTTGTTAGAATTTTAATGGAATTTGGAGTTCTACGTGAACTTGTCATCTAAGACGTTGTTACATATTTAAATGTCGTTTTAGTAATTAGGCTGATAGTTTATTAATTTAAAAAGTTATAAACTAAATAATCACATATAGGTGCTTTGCAATCCGTCAGATCATAATCAGTACATATAAAATTAAATGTAACAATAAATTAACTGCGTTCTTTTAAAATAAAAGCATCCTTTTCTTTGTTATTGGTCTCAGTTAAACTAGTCGATGAATCGATGGCTCTCGTGAGGAGAGGCTCGGCCACAAAGGGCGGTAATTCTTCATTAGAGTCGGCGGGTTCCGGTCAAGTGCTGCCCCCGGGGGTTGGTAATCAACGCTTGCAACTTGTATTATTTTTGAGGGAAGACTACGCCGTTTGGAAGAAATCCAATTGGAATGGTAAAACTATTTTGTACAGTTCAAACGAATATGTTTATTGTTGGATAATAAAGTGCAATAAATTTCGTTGTTAAGAACGATATTTTAGGCGCACCTATCGTTATTCTGTTAGGTAATTTAAATCGTATTGGGTCAAATATCAAAATTATTTTCAATAATTTTAGACCAAGTAAAATCTTGCCATTCATCCATATATGTACAATAAAATAATATCGCATTAAAGTAACTTCTAATAGACAATCTTATAAAAAGATATCAAACTGTTTCGACACTTATTTAAGTCGTAACCGGTCAAGTTTCTGCCGACCCTCCTATTAGGAGTTGGTGAGTTTTATTTAATTTCGCCTTGTGAAAATATCGACCCCCATGTTGGCAGAGTGTCCGCTTGTCGGAAAGGGCAAATACCCGCAAATTATTGCTTTTTCTGCCAAAATACAGCCGAAGATGTTTGATTAGTCAACATTGACGCCGTGGTTTCTAAATGTATTGATAGGGGAAGTATATGGAACAAATTTAAATGTAGTTTAGCATTCGTTTTTTTATTATTAAAGAGCTAAATAATACATACATGCAATGTACGGTACGGACATAGATAAAATTTTTCTGAAAAAAAAAAATCGTGCATTTAACGGATTATTTTCTAAAATCCACTTTTGTCTTTAGTAATAAATTATCATAGCTTTTATTTTCTCAAACTTTTATTATCTTAAAGTATTAAAGTAAAATAAATGTTATTTTAACAATTTAAAACATTGGCTTCTGGAAACATCTATTAATATCTTTATTAACTTCATAACGCCTTTCTAAATTATCGTCATAATGACGACTTAAGGGTAATGCCACACTGCAGACGGTAATGACAAAATTATACCGAGTCTTAGTCGCCGTCATAAAAATTTGTTCCCAACTTAGGGTCGATGGAAAGAAATAAATGCTTTGATCGCAGTTTGTTTCTACTTATAAAAGTAAATTTAAACATAACGACTTTTGAAACTAAAATCTCTAGCTATTTAATATTAGGGACTAAAGAGTTGTTGATTTGAGTTATGTTGCAGTAAAATTACAAATACAGACAATGTACAAATGAGTTACTTACAATGAGGAATATGCTTGTACACTTTATTACCAGAAAATATAGATAATTTATATTAATATTTACTTATGAAAAGTTTCATTAAATAAAGACGATAACGCATAATTTAAAAATTATTGTAGTTCCATGCATAAACTGGGAATGATATTTTAAAACCTTTACTGGTTAAAGTTCATTGAGTTTGTTTGAACAAAAATGCCATTTGACCTGTCACTGCAACAACATACATTGCTTGCAAAAATCATAGTCAAAAGCCAAACAATAACAGCCATAACGCATACGTAACAAGGTTTAAAATGCAATGTACATTCTTATCAGTTCACCGTCTACATCTGTCCTGAAATTTTACACTGATAAAAATGTTCACATGGCAGATTTAGGCTGCGGACCATATTTATGCTACGCGATCTCGCGATAGTACCGCCGTGTTCTTTATTACGTTTTAATTCAATAAAACATAGAACATAACGCTTTGAAGATGCCGACATGGAGTTCGTGTCAGGTGGCCATATTTGTTATAATCCGGAGACAAATGGGACGTGGATGTTGCTACTACTGTGATGACTAATGAGCTGTTTAGAATAAATCTAGGATTCTGGACTTGAAATTACAATCTAGATATCTGATGTTGAGATATAAATTACTATTACTTACTTACCTATTGCAAGATATTAAAAAAAAAACATAAACGATAACGTTTTTTACATATGTTCCTAAATTGTAATTTCGCGTTGCAATCAAATTCGTATCATTGCTTCGTCCCTTACAATCTGACAGACGTCAAAATTTAAAATAATCCAGAGTTTAAGCGTGGTCTTATCAATTAAGATGCTGTTAGATTTTTTATGTTGTTTCAGTCGGCCGTAAGTAACCAAAAACAAAACTGACCCAGTTAGCAAATGTCCAAATCTGTATTGAAACGTGATACCATTCGTAACACGAAAAACATTCGTTATAACACTTACGTAAGTTCGTGAGGGTATGAAGGCGAGGCCGCGGAGTTGTAGTCGTGCTTGTCTGTGCGTTTGTCCGTCCGCACCGACGTCACGACACCCCGGTCACGAATCTTGACGACTTCTTGCTGGAATGGTCATTAGTTCACATTTCGCAGTCACTTTCGCTTAAATTATAATTTTTAATGACTACTTAATTCATTACGTTTACTAACTTATTTAGTCATTAATAAGTAGCAGGCGATAGGGTAGGGCGTTGTTGGGCTATCGCCCTGGGCGCTTGACAAAAGGGGGCGCCAATGTCTACAATTATAATGTCTCAAATAGGACTGTTACAAAGCATAGAAAAATGGAGCGCTGTACAAATCCAGCCCAGGGCGCGTGTAGACTAAATCAGGTACTGTCTCTGAGGAAGTGTAGATTACTAACCAATAAAGATTATAAAATCACAATTCTCATAAACATTGGTTAATGAAAACATCATTTTAACCGAAGAGGCTCGTCTCAATAAAGCAGCTACCGTGTCAGACCGTGGCGATGTTATCGCGCAGAGTCAGGTTACCTCGGCACTCCTGACTGCTTTACGACAGGACGCTTCTCTTTGTCCTCTGTTTACAAGAAAGGACTATTGTTTTGGTTTTATTATAAGGATGTCACAGAAGGTTTACTAAGAAAGGAACGTAGACAACAAAATATAGCTAGATATCAATTATTTTATTAATTTAACTCTCATTATCAACTTCTGTTTTTCATATTACAGAGATTTTGCAAGAATGTTATGTCTTCAGCTCTATCTATAATAAGATAACCTCAAATAGTTTCAATATAAACTTGGATCTTCTTTAGATATTGCTCTATAGTTCTATAGATCATTTTTTTTATAGTTGTAAGAGCTTATTATAATTAGTTAAATACTGTACTTAAAATTTCTCCTTTATAAGATACAAGCTGTTTGTTGCGACTTCGTCCACGCCTATGTTATATACCGATAACGTAGCTTTCTAATGGTGCAAGAATTGAAATCGGCCTAGTAGTTTTTGAATTATTACAATAAATACAAATCTTTCCTCTTTACAATATTAGTATAGATATTATGGCTATTTAATTGTAAAATGTTTCTTGTTTCAGGTGCACAGAACAGGCGGACGTCTGCGGGTATGGCCTTGGAATTGTTTGAGCAGCATCAAGGCACTCACATACTCCAGGTCAGTTGAATGTTACATCAAACATTAATCCATCAACCTTGAAGTTTCAATAGCATAATGGTTAAGGGCACTGTTATTCGATTACGTGGGTTCATATTTGTCCTTTTTAATAGATTATATTGTAAGATATATGTCTTTTCATGACTAATTAAAAATTTTGTTTACTTTCGTCACCAAGCATCACAAAGCACAAACGAACTTGACTTTGCCGTTGCCCAATAAACTAACTTCATGCTTTTTATCAACTCAATAGTATGCATACAATAGACCGACACACTAAAGCGCTTGCGAAATATCAATTTAATATTTTTTTTATCGGTTTCACTCGAATTTCATAACGGAATTTAATCGAATGCGTTGTACAGAGTTGTAAAAGGGTTGTCCGAATTACATTGCAATTGAAATGTTAGTTATTGAACGAGTCAATTTATTTTTGCGTCACAAAACTTGTCTATAGCCTTGCGGATAATAAGATATTGTTGAAGAATCAAATAAAAATAGGTTTGTTGATATTCGTGTATATTAAAATCAAGTTTTGGAATCCCGAATGATATTGTCTAAATGTTATGCTACTTTTATAACTAAGTTCTCTACTTAATTAAAGTAAGGTATTCGAATATGTATCGTGAGGTTTTAATAAATCATTGATATCATCGACGATTCAAGCTGTTTCTCCATCGATAAGTAAGTTACGACTAAGTTATTTCACTGGTTAACTTGAATAGTAATTTAACGCACCATTGTAAAATGAAATCTATTCCAGTGTACAACAAAGAGTTAGTAGAGTCATTGTTACATCAAAAGCTATTAAATTAGTTTTTTTTTTCATTGTAAAATCTGATGTTCAAGGACAAATCGACTTCGCAAGCATCAGCGTTAACCTAAATGGCGGTTGAATACTAAAAAATCGATTATACCATTCGATCACGTAAATTATCATTTTGTGCAATCGATTCTCAGTCTTTGTATTACTGTGGCCGCCGTGGTTTTCTATTCTGTGGCGTGAAAATACCTCAGTACGTGATTCCCGCTCTTATTGTGTGTATAGTTTTTCTGATCTCATCAAATTTAGGCGATTGTATTTACGGGACAAGTTGTACGTTTTGATGGAAAAAATAAGGACGCGCATGAAGGAACGCTACAAAAGGTCGCTGTGTGCGAATAATGTGTTTATGTTGGTTTGATAAAAACTGTCGAGACTGATGCCGACGTCGATAGCTGTGGGAACTCTTGTATTACGAATTATGTACTACAACTGTACTAAAAAATAAACGTTATTTACAACACTTACTGACCTCATTTGCAGCTAAATTTATCCTGTAGAATTTCGCACTTTGATTCGGTAATTAATGGGTGTACATATTATTTTTACTAGGTAGCTTTTTTTATTTTAAATGTAAAAGGTGTATATGTATGTAATTGCCATTATGTATGTGCTCTTACTTAGATTGTAATAACCTTTTATTTTCTTAGTAATAATTTCGTAGATTAAACATCTTAAATTTTGTAAAACATATTTTCATTTGACGATAACAAAAAGTAAAAAAACATCGCAAACTGGTTTTTATTTTACTCTCTTGTGACCGAGTTTATATTTCTTATTGCAACGAAAATGAATTATACATGGATGTAATTCACTAGATGTGGCACTACGTTCTGAGGATCCTTCCTCCATATTACTATCTCTACAAAAAGAACGATGATATTGTTTTTACGAATGTTTGGGCTAACTTTTGTTTGGGAAAACTAACGATTAATAAGTGTTTATAAAAACCTTCATACTTTAAAACAACGATGTCAAATAAATCTCAAAACCATAACACGTCATATTGGGATATGTTTATAATGAATTATTGTGAAAATCAATCTATAAAACAAATTTTAAAATCATCATAAAACTAATTTTACATGCCACTTCTAGTAATAATAGGTACATTCGTGATTGAATTGTTTTGTTTGTGTAACTTTTTACTGTCGGTAGAAAATTGACGCGGGATATGAAGCTATTAGTTTTCCGCTACAAGTAACGTCAGCAGAAAACATTATAAAAATTACCGAAGTTTAACGTAGAATAAAAACGTACTAGCAGATGGAGAAAGCGTCCAACAATCCTTAAAGTTAATTCAAATAATTTTAATTACATTGTATACTGCAATAGTATGTTATGCAAAAAAGTTTTTACCCGAATGTTGAAATTTAAAAATTAAACGAGTAGTACTTTACTTACATACCATACACCGTAACAAAATTATATATAAAACAAAAAATAGTAGTAAATTTTTTGCTAATTTACTAATATTTCTGTCACCATTTCAACTAAGCGCTAGGTTTGTGCAAGGATATAGTTTACGACAAAAGTCGAATGGCGGGATTCGAACCCTCGACCATGTGATTGGAAATCCATACCCCCTAGCCATTAGGCTTTTAGCGTTTTAATAATGATTTTTACATTAAATAATAATTGTTAAAAATTATACTTTTAATTTTATTAATCTGCCAACCCTATCAGACATGAAAAGAACTAAATCGTAAGCACAGTTTTTGCTCAATGGATTATTCTTTTTTTTAATTTCACGACTATTACCTGACGCCCCATTGATCTTGAACTTCAAACATCTGTATTCATTTTGATGTCATCTCGTGATTTGATTTTAACTGTTTTTCATAAGTAATTTCTTACTAAAGTTGTTATCAAGATAATGTTCATGAAGGAATAGGTTAAGAGAATTCACACAAAATAACAACGATTTGATAGACATTTTCTTTTTAATCGTTAAAAGAGTTAATAAAAAACATACAGACGAATTGAGAATCTCCGTATTTTACGAAGTCGGTTAAAAAGACGACTCACCGATCAGACACACCATAACCTTTCACATACATGATTTAAACTTCATCTATCTTGCTGACTTCTTCATTCAACTGTTATATTTCTTGTTTTCTTTCTTAACTTCTATTTTTTGTCCACAGTCTCTCGACGGGTTCGCGCTCTCAGTGGCAGCGGACGGGAGATTTCTGTACATATCTGAAACTGTCTCAATATATTTAGGATTATCACAAGTAAGTACAACATTTTTAATAATGTTACCTCTACTCTTATAGTGCAGGACATAATTGTTATAGACCACATGCCTCGTAAGTTAATATTAGTTTAGCCTTGTATTCCGAAACTTACAATCATATAAAATTTCCAAGCAATGCATGTTTATACTGCTTGTTTATACTCGTAATGTTAGTATCATAAGGAATACAAATAGAATGCAACAACATAACTCACACTCGTAACCCAGAAGGATAGGTAGAGACTACGAACCATTTGACTCCGTTTCAAATATCAACATAATCTTGTAAAACTGTATCACAGTTAACTAAACGCCTACATTTTGTAGGCGTAAAATCTAAGCAGAGTGCAGTCCATTGAAGCACGCTCGAAGTTTCACATGGCATTATACGATTTAATCAGAAATTTTCGGCGCTGGATAGACATCCGGTGTAATGGTGTGATCGTAGATAAAGCTACACGTGTCGCATTATGTCTGTTACGTGGGTAGACGCTTATAAAATGGGCTGGAAAGGGTCTTGTAAATGTTTTGTGTCAACGTGTTTTACGTAAGAAGGTAGAGTGACCATTCATGTTACATAATGAATATATGGAAAGTGTTCCCTTAAAGTGGTAATTTTCATAGTTAATTGCTCATTAATGAGACTTTAAGTGAAGCAGTAAAATTTTGCTAAAAATTATTGGTTTAATTTTATTGGGTCTGTCCCACCACTGGCTGATAGAGGCTCAGATAGCTTAAAAGTGACGTCACTGTCAAATAGAGCACCAAAATCTGATGTTTCCATAAGATATTTTTTACGTTTGATTGTTACCTGACAATTTACAAGAATTGTGGGGCCCATATTATGTAATTCAAGCTTAATCAATTGTCTGTTTACTAACTTCTTTGATCAATAAGTCTTCATTTTGCCAGATTGGAACAATCACTTCGTTGGTTCATTTGAATTTAATAGTGATTACATATCGCATACTTTTGTTTTAAATCAGTTATTGTGCATTGTAGATATCTATTTAAAGAATACCTCGATATTGTCTATCGTCATTTCAAATTCTTCTTCATCATTTTATTTCTACTTTATGGTATTTTTATTGACGCTGTTATGTCCATAAATTATTCCCCTATTTGATGTTAACAAAAAATGTGAAAATAATAAAACATTTTTAGTGCTATTAATTTTTTTTTTTATGAAAATACAGCGAACTTTCACAATTCGAAATTGAAGGTCCGTCTGTCTAGGGTTGCTTAGTGTGAATATACGTTAAAAAAATTTAAAGCCTCAGTTTTAAACTCCAGTATTTTATAAGCTGAAAACAGCGAAGACAGAAAAAACACATGTAAACGAAATTAAACATTACGAAATTAAAGGGAGCCGGGAAAAGATCCGAAAACTGGAAAACTCAAATCCAACATGGCTGGAGGGTGGTGCAAGCGAGACAGGACACAGGGGGAAAGGGACGATGCGATATGCGAGTCACGTCTCGGGCAAGGCGCGCGCGTGATCCTCATCCTAATACGGACATAACCCACACTCCCCCAAACACACACACACCAAAATCTAAACACCTAACACATGAAGTCTCATAAGTCTAATACGTCAGTGTGAGTGAGCATAAAATACATATAAACTTCCTGGTAAATAACCTAAGATACAACTTTCTTATAAGCGAGCCTCGAAACGCTCCTATATTAAATTCTCTTACTGGCAATTTTTTCGGAGCCAGTCTGATGTCGACAAAAGGAATCATATTTTCTCGGAAAATTCCTACCTTACTTTTTTATACTGACATGTTTTTGCTTTCTCGACAAAATTATTTATCGCTACGAACTTTCTTGGAACTGATGTAGAAATAATTAAATAACATTTTCTTAACTGGTTTATTCAAAGCTTTTGTCAGTTTTCAGATTTGATTGATTTCAATACATTTCAAACTTAACTCTCACAAAAGTCTATAGTTTTGATTATAACAAAAAGCACAGTTAGAATTAACGCTAGTCGCACTTGGGACCTCAAGAGCCCAAATTCATTAACAATCGAGAAAATTATCATTTTCACACTAAAGACAGTCTTGTCGAAGCATAAATAAAGTGGACATGATCAATGACGCCGCTTAACATACATGAGGTAATATCAAATCAACTGCCAACATCTTAAAATTTGTGAGCCATCAATCGGCGAATCGGTAAACACCATAAAATCCATACCATCTTTCCCAGAAGCGACCACCATAACTTCACCATTGTTTGTAGACATTCACATGCGCTTCGCCGCTGCGGATACGCGCGCATTGAATCTTTAATAAGGTCCCACAATTATATTTGATAAATTTATTTAAAGCTACATTTGCATACCGTGAAAGGTTCAACGTGAAAGTCGCCTGGCAACAAATTGAAAATCGATCGAAAATTTCAGCCTTGATCAGAAATTGTAACTATATCGTAGACGCCTGAAATAAACACAACGGAAATTCCAAGTCGTTAGACCGATACTACTTACTACACACGTATATGTATGTACTAATTTATGACGTCATAATATCTTAATAGTTATCTAGTGTTGCTTACGATAGTGAAGGCATTTTATTAAATCATCATTTATATTGCTATAAAGGGCTTGGTTTCTCTAACCGTATTGCTTCAATTGATGTTCGTAATAACAAAATTAAATATGGAATCCGTTTTCAAAGAATTCAGATTTATAAGAAAATCAATCGCAGTTGTCGCAATAGCTTCTTCCATTGTTCTCTTGGTTTCCTCGTCGCAACCGAGTTTTATTGGTATTTCTATGAAGCCACCTGCTATGCGATGTCTGATAACAGCCCGTTCATTCATAACGATGACTGAGTACGTGACGGCCCAGCTTAATTACACTAGGCCTCCGCAGCATTGACCGTCCAAAATATCAAGCAACTCTGATCATTATTGTATTCTACTAAGGATGGATATAGCATGCATGTTACTAAGATTGTTATGATTTGTTAGTTTGTTGACTATAGGAACATTTCCGTGGTTGAAAATTTTATTTTGGAAGTGGTATTACATTACTCTGTTATAAAACTTTGTTGACAGGTTATGGTGGTCTGACAACACTTATAATTCATTCATCCGTTTACTTAGTTCTTGTTAATAGAATTATTATTTCTAACATGATCTATCTTTTCCAGGTAGAGATGACTGGTAGCAGCATATTTGATTACGTTCACCAAAGCGACCATGCGGAGATCGCGGAGCAGCTCGGTCTATCCCTGGCCGGCAGGGGCGGCGGGGCCGGCCTGAATAGTCCAGCCTCAGGCAGCGAGGAGGGAAGTCAACATGGTACCAACAATCCTGATGGTAAGTGTTATATGACACTTCAAAATAAAATAAAAGAGATTTACCTCAATATATCTAGACCAAAATTCTGATCCTCGATCACTAGCAACTGAGAATTGTAGTTTAAAGTGGACCAATGAGAATATCTTTGATCATCTTGGATAAAAATAAATGTAATTATGTTTTTGCTATTTTAATTCTTCAGTTCTTATCTGTTTCGTTAAAACAATACGATTTCAAAAGAAAGCAAAATGTCAATGAATAAAATATGCACCCAGCCATCGTAAATACTTTGTCCCAACAAGGTTAGATATATCAATCGTTTGTTGACCCACAACAATTACATTTTCCCTGTACTGTTAATTTAAATGTATTCAAGTCTCATTTATGTATGCAATTTATTCCTTCAAAGATTGTTTTGCTTGATTACTTATAGAATCTTACTGTAACTGTAAATCTCTTAAGATTAAAGGAACTTTTATTAGAACTCCAAAATGATTACGAAGAATGCTCAAGTAACGGTTTTAAGACCATGAATAAAATAGCTGTGGAAAAGATAAAAGATAGAAAAGAAATGAAGAAGATATCTTTATTTACTGGATAAAAGATTCCATAAGTCGAAGTTAAGCATTAACCGTTACGCGTTCTGAATGCCACTTCTAAAAAAGAAAACAAAACAAACCGTACATTTCAAATGAAAGTTGAAAAACAACAAAAAAAATTGTTATAAATTCAATTAAAGTTTCCTCATTTCCAGTTCAGTTTCTATTTTTATCAGCGACAATATCGATCCCAAACCTTGGTACAACGAATCGTTGAATGAGGCCTGTAATAGTATACCAAATTTAAATTAGATTATAGTGACTTCACGGCGTATTTTACTTTATGAAACGGTCAATGGGGAGTCACAGCATACTTTTATACTATTGATTAATATTTCACATCGCTCTAGGAATCAGATTAAGTTTATTGAAACTTGGGCGCCATTCTCTGGCCAATTCTCAACAGATGGACTTAAGGGAGTCGAATTGTAAGGTGTTATTACATCAGAAATCATGCTGGTCCCATTAAAACTTTGTGATTGACAAAAAGTAATTTGAAATGACGGTAAATTTAAAAGTACTTTAACAGTTCTTATCACGGAATGGCAACAGAATTTGGACGTCATTTTTCTGGAGATTTTATTTCGTGAGGTAAATTTGATTTCCTTTTTATTGATTACTAGCTACTCGCGACTTTATTCGCGTGATATTAAAAAATAATAATAAAGTATAACCAATGTTAATCACTAATAACATAGCTTTTTAATGGTGAAAGAATTTTTGATATCGCCCCAGTAGTTTTTGAGTTATTTCAACACAAAAAAATACAAAACTTTCCTCTTTATAATATTACTATAGATGTGTTAAAAATATTTGATATTTTTTTAATTCTTTATTTATTCGTACATTGCCAAAGTTAGATCTTGGTTTATTGAATCTGATGTTTTTATAAGTTAAAGTGTAATCCAAGTTGGTCTATAAAAAACTTGAATGTTATTTTCTACATGCGGTTGTTTGACCCAGATATTTGATGCATTTCTTTTCAAACCGGAATTATTTCATAATATTCTAAGAGAAACTTGAGTTGTTCACTTACGCTTTTGTTCTAGAACTTTCCTTGACATTTTGTTATTATAATAAACCGTGTATACCTTTTGTCTTTTATCTGTATTAACACAATTTGAGTAAATTAAAAAGTCCAATTTTCCTTCATTGCCTTTAACAACATTTAAAACGTATGGAAACGTATAAAATCTAAAAACATAACCTCAAAGGATCAAACTCTTAAGACTACTATCATTTATTTTAAAAATATTAAACTGAAGTTAACCTTTTAGAAATGATCACTTTTTAATTCACTTTTTTGTGACATAAACAAACACATTTCTAACTCTCCATACAATCTTTATATGACTTTTTTTCTCGTAACGGATGTCAGTTACAATCAAGACCTTGAATTCAATTTACGTCCGTGATATGTTGAAAAAAAATGTTAGATGGAGTAAAAAATCAATCAGGAATCGATGTGACAGCAGGTCATTGTAATCTGACTGGCGTGGTTAAAGGGACTTCAGAACAGAGGCGCGCGGACAACCGCATATTACGTACCATAAAATGATTGAGGTCCGTGTGATTATGTTAGTTGATTTTAAAGTCAGCGGTTCTCAACCCTAAGCTTAAAGTACAGACTAAGCAAAAACAATATACAGGGTGTTTAGGAAAAACGTGAACAATGGACTACCACAGATTCCTTGGCCGAAAATATGACATTTGACCTAGCTTATCTTTACCCAAAGTTACTTCGTTTGGGCGCTAGAGGCCTCTAAAGTTTGCTATTTATTTTTTAATTTTTTGCAAATATCTTGAAAATCAGTAGACAAATTTTATTCGCATTAATACATGCTCTTTGTTTGTTAAACTGCACATTTTTGTGGAGCAAACCTTTGTCATCATCTATTCGATTAAGGAATCTGTTGTAGTCCATTGTACACATCTTTCCCTGACAACTTGGAGTACAGAATTCCAATTTTCTTTCAAACACTGTCTCAGTCTTTAAATTACTTAAATAAATATCAATAAATTTAATTCAAGAAATCACACCAAGACACTGTCTTAGTAACTATTTTTCGTCTATGATGATATTATCGTTAATGTAAAAAAGAATTATATAAAAAAATGTCTGCAATAAAATCATGTATATAAAAACATTTTGTCTTTTTAAATGACTCCATTGTTTCATTACTCATTAAATCGGTTAATTTATTAAAGTGTACGTGAACATGACAGTGGCAATAAATAAATCTACAAGCGTCATTCGATTTCGGCTTCAAAATAAAAGTTATACTGCAGAATTCAATGTCACCTTCAAAAATAAAACTGAAGGTCACTTAGAGGTTTTAAAGTTGGACGGACAGCTATACTTATTTAGACTATAGGATATCCGTCAGTTAACGACTATGAGTAATACTTAAGTTGAAAGTTTATTGATGAATTAAAGGTACTTCAAAAGTTTAAGTTTCAATGATTTTTCCCAGTATTACGTAGCTAAATAAAAATCAATTAAGCCGTGATGTTGATCTTTTGGTACCTAACGCTGGGCCCATGAATCTTTTAATTACCTGCTCACTCGACCAATCAATCACTTCTTCATAGTTTAATTTGAAATGATTACTCGCTTTTTTACTCTTGCGTGAAAGGAATTTTGTTGCGATTAGATTTTAAACAGCCATTTAATTTTACATTTAAATTAAATATACTCTTGTCATGGGTCATGGGTGTAGCCAGAGAGGGAAGGACTCAAAAATTGTAAAAATTAAATCAAAATACTAAAGTGCCTACAATGCCTAGACACATAAATAACTCAAAAGAGATTTGTAAGTTGTTCATTAAAATACTGTACCACATATTATTATTTTCTTTAGAAAAAAAAAGTTATTTTACTACTTGCCCCTTCATCATTACCTGCGCGCTCTCGAGAATATCGACTGACGAAACTCATGTCACTTAAAGAATAATTTATAACAAAACATAAGGATGCAAAAAATGTTTTGAAAATACACGAGCAATCAAATTTACTCTTTCAATCTAAATTACCTAGTCATTTCCAATATAAAGTTCTCAACAATGATTGATTTACTTCGAATTGTTCATTCTGTGCACGATTGTCAACTAAATAAATGATTTATGCTTTTTATGACTTTCGGATTTGTTCATTTTTAATTCTGTTGTCATATGTTTCTTATTGTTCACAGTGTCAGCACAAATGACTCTGGCTGCAAGTGGGGTGTTATTCCGAGGCATGGATAGAGCCTTCTGCGTCCGGATGAAGAGCACGCTCACTAAACGCGGCTGCCATTTCAAGTCCTCTGGATACAGGGTAAGGATACCAATATTTTATCCTACTGCAGATTCACGCTTTTGATTTGAAGTCTAACGAATATGGACCTTTATAGTACAGATATGAATTTATGATATCTAAAATGTATTTTTCGTAATCTACTTAAAGCCGGCTACACAGCTTCAGTACAAACTGAACAGTCGTACTGTACAGTTAAAATAAACGCGTTTAGATGATATAGGATTTCTAGATCTGGGAAAATATTACATACTCATACACTTGCAATGTAAGAGTTTGGAAATTTGTGGACATTTTATTTCTTATCTAGATTTTAGACTGAGATTTAAATGGACCTTGAATTTTCATATATAGGTTGCAAGAAACCAGGAAGGCGAATCTACCAGAAACACAGAGAGTGGGAATTGGCGGGTGGGTATCAAATGCAGAAAGATTGAAATTATCTGTCACAGAAATTTCTAGCATTTTACTCCATGTTTGTGTTTTAATACATAAAATTTACCGAAATAATCGTGTAAAAACACCTGCCTCAAATTATGTACTAAGGAAATTAGAAAATACGATTGTTTTCGCAAATTAAGATTTTTTAAGCGAATAAGTAAATATGATTGTAATAGGCAAAGACTTTTTTGTTTTCATTCATATTATCAGTACTACAAGTAACAAAGTGCTAGTTAATTCATTATTTCGCGATGTAATAGAGATATCGGGAGTAACTTGCGAATAAATAATTGAGGTTTTATCCTGGGAAGATCACAAATATCATGGGCGAGTTATTGCAACGCGGGGTGCCCCAAGGCAATCTCTATGGCCCATAATTTTTGCCTTAACTCGGTGCTACAACATAAAATGTGATCATATCTCAACATGAAAATGTCTTAGTAGGTGCGTAAAATTGTTCTTAATAGATTGTTTCCGGGGTGAAAATTTAGCTTTTATTTCATAAACGTTTGTGGACATTTTTATGTTGTGAAGTGAATTTATATATTGATTTGTTACATTTATTGTTATTACTTTTTTCATATGTGATTTATATTTAAATAGCTGTAGCTTGTGACTTCGTCCACGTGAGATTAAAAAATATAGCCTATGTTACTCACAGATAAATTACTATTCTAATGGCGAAAGAATTTTTGATATCGGCCCAGTAGTTTTTACGTGAATCGAATACATACAAAAATACAAATCTTTCCTCTTGTTGGCGACTTCGGCCGCGTGCAAATAAAAAATATATGCATGTTACTCACATACAAATTACCTTTCTAAAGGTGAAAGAATTTTTTTTAAAATCAGTCCAGTAGTTTCTGTGTTATCTCAATATATATAATACAAAAATATAAAAATACAAATACATTCCTCTTTATCATAATAGTATAGATATAGAGGTGGTACAAAGGAAGAGGAAGACCGAAGAAAGTATGGATGGATTGTGTGAAAGAGGATATGCTTAAGAAAGGAGTGGATTCAGATATGACGGCTGATAGAGATGTATGGAAGAGCAGCACATACTGTGCCGACCCTCCGTAAGGGATAAGGGCAAGTGGATGATGATGACATAGAGGTAGTATGGATGTACGATTAAAATTATATTTACGTATGTACTCTTGTAAATTAAATAATACATTTTCTAAGACATGTATATTATTTATAAGTTAAAAATAATGTTAATTAAAACAAAATACTATATTAGAATAAAGCGAAGTATTTTAAAATGGTATTGTAAAAAACTAATTTGAAATCTGTATGGAAACCATATACCAATTACGTTAGTGTTGTTTAATATACGGATATTACAATAACATTAGCATTTAATTTTAATTCAAATAAATCAGTGAAACGGATTTTCCTATGAAGTCGTAATTCGCTTTATCTATATCTTAATTGCTTGAATTTCGACTTGTACAATTAGTAACATTAATTACTTACCGAACACAAGCAACGCCGCGGGCAAGTATTTTATTGCCCAAATTCAGTGGTCCTCGAGTTTGTTACCTGAATTTTCAGTACGTGCTTTTCGGAATTAACGTTGAACATGTACTATTAAAGTAATTTATGTTCTAAAAGTTTTGATCAAGCTTTAGTGCTTTAAAGTTTGAGAGCACGTGCCTCCTCACCAATAATAACCGATTGTCGTAGATTTTTTTAACCTGTAGTATAAAATCTTTTTGTTCATAAAAGTACTTACTAATAAACAGGGAAAATATTGTGAGAGTTATCAATGAAGAGAGTAAACTGATTTTTTTGTGACTGAATGGCCACTGTTTACATCGAAGAGGCATTTACAGATTCACCGAGCTTGCGATGGCCCAGTGCAGATGGCGCTTAGCCTAAACCTCGTTTATGAGTAACTAAGCTCGAAGGCTCTCTCAGGGTTCTCGGCACGAGCTGTTACTTCGTTATTATTATCGGATTGGTAAAGAACTGATATTTCGAGTGAAAAAAAAAAATCTTTTATATCAGTGTTAATAGGAGAAGCGACAAACAGAGCATAGAATTGCCTTAAATAATTGATCTGACGATGTTAGAGGTACCGCAGATGCGTTGCCGGCCTTCGCCACCACAGATCGTGTAGGACACAGAGTAATGTCTCAAACTTCACTCGTTGAATCCCTATTACTTTAATTTTTTAATTTGTGAACTCCTTATTTTATTTCCAACCTTAGTACATCATCACAGGATCTTCTATTGACCCCAGAGGGCCACCATTTAAAGAATAATAGGTCTAATGCTTTATATTTTAAAGATCTTTCTTTTTTTTCCAGGTGGTGCTCATGCTATGTCGTCTACGGCCGCAGTACACGTTCTCCCACAGCCGCAAGTCTCCACCAGCGCTGCTGGGCATGGTCGCCCTAGCTATTGCTCTACCACCGCCCTCAGTACACGAGATAAGACTGGAATCAGATATGTTCGTGACGAGGATTAACTTCGACTTCCGAATAGCACATTGTGAACCCAGGTAATACAATTATCAATTACTAGTTTACTTACCGATAACTTAGCTTTTTTATGGTGAGAGAAATCGGTCTAGTAATTTTTGAGTTATGTTAGTACATACAAAAATCCAAATTTCCAAATTAATAAGATAAAATAAGAAGTATAGATGATAGAGTATAGACTTATCATTATAGAAGGTGATTACCATAACAGATTCTGGTAGATATTTCTTTTGGATTTTCTTAGGTTTCGACTTTATTGTTATGTTACCATCACCAATATTCAACAGACCCAATACAAGTATCACTTCATTCGAAACCAATAAAGTTTTTTTTTTATTCAGCATTTAAACTTTTATCAATCTCTCCAATGTCATCAATAGTCATGTAGAGTCATTTATCTAATGTTATTTTTCTTTTACTTACGATAAATTCAATTACAATTTTTGTTTCATTCTCAGCAGGGTATCAGAGCTGCTGGGCTACACCGCCGAGGAACTGACGGGGAAAAATCTTTACGCGCTCTGCCACGGTGAAGACGCTAACAAATTAAGAAAATGCCATGTAGATTGTAAGTTGTAGTATTTATTCTACGATAAGCATTTCGTTTATTTAATAAGAGATAAATCCTAAAATATTTAAAATGTTATATGCCACTTGATCGTCCCCTGAAGTCGCAAGGACTTCGTACTCTTATTGCTCCTATAAAACTTCAATAAAACCGATTAATCATCGATTGTTCTCAACAATCATTGTATCGATCGTCCACCCATGACCCAATACGCGTAGTGAAATCCTTTGCCAGTATATGTCGCAACGGACAATTTGTATTCAGTCTGAGGCATATAGAAATCCATGTCAAGTCGACTAGCGGTCGATTGAGGTGCGTTAGAAGGAAAATTTACGACTCTGTCCAGTTTTGAGGGTAACTTTTGGGTGCGAAATGATTTCTAATGATCCTAGTAATTTTCTTATCCGCATTCTTTGGTTTGGACCTTCACTTTAACCACAAAGACAGTTAAGTATGGTAATTTAAAATAAATTGTTTCTTTTTGGTTTGTGATGTGTTATTCGATTTTTATTGTTCCATTATGTAGAGTTTCTTCCAATAAATTTGGGTATTCGATGTAATTTTTTCTTGGGAAAAAATTGAATGTAAAATGTTGTTCACATCGTTGTCCAAGCTCAATATAGTTCCTGATGTTTTTATCTCTTATGTATTCATCAAAGGAATACAATTTAGGTTGACGCCATGCGCCGTCTCATATGTGTTGTGATTTGAATAATAATTCTTTTACTGTCATTTTAGTTTCCTTTCCTTCGGCTTACTCGTGGGAAAAGTAATTCGTCCTGCATAGCTTTATCTTGTGTCTATTTTATTTTCCATGATAGCTTACTTTTTCCTTGAACATTTGACTGTGTAATATAAACTTTATTGTCCTAAATAAAGTAATGGCTTTAAAATTACTTAATACACGTAGGAAAAATGTGTTGATTCAATTATTTAAAGCAAATTCAAAATAAATACGTGCAAGGAACTTACAAAATAAATTATAAAACTGCATAAAACGAAGGACTGACGTTTGACAGTGGTAGTGCCCGCTTTGACATCTTAGCACGAATGGGCCGGCACGCCCGGTGTAATACCACGACCACACAGAAGACAGGCGTGAAATGGAAGCAATTCCGTGTTTTGTCTGATGAGTGTGGTGCCGGAGGCCTAATTTAAGTCCCTTTCTCTTTACCACCCTTTTCTTATAAGAAGAGGTTGGGAAGAGGAAGTGGATTTGACGGCGGAGGAGATGCATAGGAAGGGGGAAATATCCTCTTTATGTGCGTCTCCTCCTCCGTCGTATAAGGGTAGGCAACGCATCTACAATTGCGGATGTCTATGGGCAGCGGTCGCTACGCCATTTTGGCGGTTTCAGGTGGCCGCTTGCTCGTTTGCCACCTTATGTTATAAAAAAAAAAAAAATGCAACGGTGCTGTCACCGTTCGCGCCAAGCCGAAACAAGATGGCCGCCGCTTGCGTACACGAATCACGAGCGAGTTAACGTCATAGTTTTTTTCTCTAGCACCAAAACCGTTGATAGCTTTACGAGACGATTAATTTGAATTTAAAATACACACTGTCTCTGCAGATGCCGGTCAAATGTGGACAATCCGGGTGTAGAATATCAATTGTTTGAATTTCCATAAAAGTCCAGGCGTTTGTTAGAAAGCGGGTAATTTGGTTACAACTACATACGCGGACAGGATTTCTGATGTAGCCAGCGACATAACTGACCGCCTGATATTTAAATTTAGTATATAAGGCTATAAAATTGAATTCTTATGTCTGGGACTTCCGACACTTTAAGATGCCGCTGAGTGTAGAATTATAAATGTTTCTTAGAACTAGATTATCAGTCGAGAGTCGAGAACGACAGCTGCCGTTTATAACTCATGCTTTTGTAAATAACAGTTCTATGTGTCTATTCGTCATCACAATATCCGTTGATGCGAATACAAAAGTTAAACAAAAGGTAATAAAAGCGCCAACACTATTAAGTCTCATTAAAATGGCTCGTAGTTTGACATTAGCACATTACTGGCACTTTTGCATTCTTTTAATATTGTGCACTTGTATAAAATGTACAAACAACATTGACTAATTACTTGGCAACGTATCGTAAAGTTATGGTTGACGTCATTAACGTCTAATTCCATACTTCTTTTTTGTAATCAGCTTATAGTATCTGCTTATTAAATGATGATATTGGATTAATTAATGATTCACGTAAGACAATCCTTCAATTCTTAGCCTTCATTAGTATTTTATTAGGATATTTCAGTGCCTGTTATCCGTATTTGGTAATCTTTAACTACTGTAAGACAAGAATATATGTCCTCAAGTGTTATGGCAAATTCCACGGTTATACAGTTTGACGTTATAACGACGTTCATATGTAAATATGTAGTTATATTGGAAGTGCATACCATAGTTATACACGCAATTGTCTGAATCTATATAAACTTGAACAATTACGTAGTAATCAGCTATAGTGGACCACAACAATGATGCCTCACAAATGGCGCCTTTTTCACTTGTTGGACGAGGTCCAACCGCGGTTATAACTCCAGCCGACAATAAACAATACGACAACAAAACCAAAAACCGTCTCGTCGCTAATGACTCACGTAGCACAATACACGTGTCGTTCACATTGTTTCTGTTTGCGGTTAATTGTAAATGTGCTGATCGACTGGACTGTATTCACAATACATAAGTAGGAGTAAAAATTCTTCCCATGCAAGCCTTGTAATTCGCACGTAAGAAGTTTCATAGAGTAATACGTGGTTGTTTGCAGTTCCCGTTTGATTATAGAATTATTTATGTAATTGAAAGAATAAGATAATTTAAAGGTTCATTCATTCATTCATTTTTTTAATTCAAAATCATTTTCAAAAACTTCGTTATTACATGAATATCATACACAAATTCAAGACAAGTTTGTTTGCTACTTTGAATAGCAATTAAATACATTCCTATCAATGTGTCCCCAGCTTTACATATCGGTTTAGGCTTATCGTATTAATTGTATAGAACAATATGAATAATATCGTCATCAAACATCAATTTAGGCTACTAATTCAAGGTCGGGATTAGAAGGCTTTGGGTCACCGCGGTTGCAGACCATTTTAAGATGCACCAACTTGGGCTGGTCGATGACCAATAACTGACGTAACTCAAACACCTGTCAGATTGTTTTCGCGAGTAAATTGTTGATAGTTACTATTTAAAGCAACGAACTTAACTGAATTAAAAATTGAAGGTCAGACTGCTATGAAGATACAACTACGTCCTTTAAAAGTTGAGTTTACTAGTCAAGTCTAAAGTTAGTCAACTAATTTAAAAAGTTGTATTATTTTTCAGGTCAGGTCTTACCGTTCATGCGGCGCTATCGCTGATAGTCTAGTAAACGTTATTGATATTTAAATTGTTTTGTTACAGTAATGAATAAGGGCCAAGTGTTGACGCACTATTATCGACTGATGAACAAGCTGGGCGGCTACACCTGGATGCAGACGTGTGCCACCGTCGTCTGCTCCTCCAAGAACGCTGAGGAACAGAACATTATCTGTGTGAACTACGTCATCAGGTGAGGAACCATTTTAACAAGACTACGTCGGTAACACGATTAATTTCTTCCAAAAACTGTCTTTAGTCATAGTTGTTTAAAACCGTTTTTCTTTTATTTCCAGTGGCCGAGAGTATCCCAACACCGTTATGGATTGCTGTCAATTAGAAGAAAGCGTACAAGGAGTGAAGCGCGAAGAAACGATAGGAGATCCCGATAACGGACCGCCTGATGCTGACACGCCCGGAGCACCGCCGCCGCCCACCAGACACACAACCGAGCGCAACGAAGCCCCGAACAACTCTGACTCCGCTTCAACAGTACCACCAACTTCGGATGTGACACATCTAACGAGGCTTAGCGACACACAACCATTACCGCTGCACACTAACACAGAAAGAACATCACCGATGCCTGCTAGAAGACTGAAAAAACGAAAGCATACCACTGATTGCGAAGAAGATACAGAAAGAGACGAAGAGAGGCGGAAGAGCAACTCTAATCCCAGCACAGCCATATCACCCGCCGACATGAGTAAAACAAACTTAGCGATACCAGAAGGTGGGGGCGACGCAACTTCAGTTAGGGATTTAGAGAATGCTATGTCTAAACATTTGCCATCAGTAGCTTTAGATGGAAAGGAAATATCACACCGACCTACTGACTTCTCTACGGATGCTCTACTAAAGCAACAACAGCAGAAATCCACTATACAGTGGATAGGGACACAGAATCATCACTTGAACCACCTCAATAGACAGATACCTGGCAATCACACGCCAAACCCTGCATCAGCGTTGTTGAGACAACTCTACGCGAACAGGGAAAGTGTAATTCGCAGTAACTTCTTAGGAGATGGAAGAGGTGGGGGATATTATTCCAGTGATGGCCAAACGGGACCACTGCCGACGCCGCCCGGTAGCGAAGGGTCCGGTTATGGTGAACAACTCGGACACAAAACTACTGAAATTGGATCTCTGGCTTATACAAGCTATGGGGATTACCATTCCGCGATGACCCCACCCGGATCTGTTTCACCAAGAGATAAACAGCAATACGCGATATCTTACGATAACAGTGCCTACTCTGATGCACTAAGACATTCTTATTTAGGCGAAGCTCCATTACCGTTGAAGCCACAAGCATATTCTGCAGTGCCCGGTGCATTGGATTATGCGTCGCCTTTGGATCAATCTCAATTTTTCCATCCACCATCATCATTCCATCTCTATCATCCTCAGGCGCATGCCGCACATCCGTCTCACTCTCACCAATCAGCGGATAAAACAGCACCACCAAATACAAATTGGTACTCGTCTGGGTCATAGCCATATAGATAATAAATATTGAGATACAAAACGTTTGCCAAAAATGTAAGGCGTTGATTCAAATGTTTGATTCATATTTATTGTTACTGACGACTTTTTTGTTATCGTTTATGTTTACGATGTCTGAAAATGTTTTTATAATTTAACTAAAACAAAGTTATGAGTTTTATGTTGCAAAATGAACAGGGGTGTTAATAAAGTTATTAACAACTGTACGTTCTTATAGACAAATGCCATCCATCTATTGTTTTTATATTTTGTGTGCCAAGTGGTGCTGGGTTGCCATTCGGCTTGATCGGATAACGTGCAATTAATTATCTTATGATCGTGAAAATTGGTATGTTATATTGCTGAATATTCACAGTGGAATATAAACATTTTTTGTCACTGGCAACTTCACGATGATTATGACAAATGGGGGGAATTTTGCAACCTATGCAAGGAATGTTTGAAAGGAAAATGTTTATTGTACTGAAATAAACACGATGTAATGTCTTTTTTTATAACACAAAAAACAAGAGCTAATTATAGCTTGTTGCATATCAATTATTTTTAAATTTAAGCTTTCTGTAAATTATTGTACAATTTCATGACTGTTTTTAGGATTAATGTCTTGAATTCTGTAAATTTTAGGAATTAAGTATTGTATATTATTTTTACTATTTGAATATAGAATTTCATTGTATATAACATTGTTAGAATAACGGCCACATTTTTTGTCAAGGCTCAAAGACTTTTTTGTTACATTTGTTTTTTTTTAATTAAATATTTTAATTATAATATTCTGAATTAAAATAAGAATTGTAAATTATTATTAATACGAAATCTATCGAAGCCTCTCTAAGGAAATTCGAGTGTACATACATAAAAATTATGTATTACAAAGACGCCATTTTGTATTGGAAAATTAATATTAATACTCAGATAAATTAATTAAATATCGTGGTTTTCGAACGAATTATTTTATCAAACAATTTGAATTAGTAAGTACAATTTCCTGAAAGTTGGGAGTTTCTAGTGTGACTATAATTTTGAGTTTTTTGATGATTTTGTCGCACAGTGGAATAGTTCTTGGGCCTCCATAGACAGATTCATCTAATAAATGTTTTTTCTTGATATACTTTGTATGAGTTAATACAGTAGAACCTCGATAAGTTAAAGTCCAAGGGAAACTCAAAATATTTTGAGTTATAGAGGTTTTGAGTTATCAAGAGTCTAGGTTGTAGAGGTTCTACTATACATACTTTATAACGTAAAATTGATCTTATATCGATCTATCTATGGAGGTCCAAGAAATATTCCACTGTGCGCCGTATAAATGCAGTTTATTGTATGTCACCGCGGAATCTCATAACACATTATAAAGAAACATGTATCTGAGGATTAACCGCGAATATTGTGAGAATGTATTTGTAACTTTATGTACATGATATTGGTTCATTTTTCGACCACTAGGGGCGCTGCACAAATCTTATATGAGGATAATGTTACAAAAACAATCTCGGGAATATTCGCAACTGTTTCTTAAAGATTGAAGAAATTGCTGTTTTTGTGTGGTATATTTACACTCGCAGTCTTGATCAAAGATTTCATTGTTAATTTTTCATGACAAATTAATACATAAAAAAATAAATACTCAAATCATTCCATTTGATGTAATTTGATATGAAAATGTGTAATTTTATAATAGTTAAACGTTTAGGTATTTACAATATTAATTAAATAATGTATTCTATTTACTGTGCAATACAAGTGAATGTTTTGTTTTCTAAAAGCTTCGTTAATGTATACTAAATTTAAGGAATTATAATTAAAAAAAAATGTAATAAACCTGTAATTAATATTGGGATTAGGCTTGTATCGCGAATATCCGACATTTACTTTTTTTTATCTTGAAATGATTTTTCAATTCAACATTTTTTTTATGTTTTTAATCGATCAAACGAAAAATGAAAGAAAATTTATTTCTCCGAATAAAATAATTAAGAAATTTTCATTGAAAAACTTTTATTTATCAATACTTTTATTTTCGTACAAGAAATAAGTAAGAGCAGTCTAACAGTGGTAGAGTCCGCTTTAACATCGCACGAATGGGTCGGCTCGCCCGGTGTAATACCACGACCACACAGAAAACTGGCGTGAAGCGGAGACAATTCCGCGTTTCGTCTGATAAGGTTGGTGCCGGAGGCCTAATTTTAGTCCCTTTCCCTTTCCACACTTTTCTTAAGAGGACAGGATGGGAAGGAAAAGTGGATTTGACGGTGGAAAGACGCATAGGAAGGTGAAATGTCCTCTTTAGGTGCGTCTTTTTATTAAGGCTTAACAACTGATATTTAAAAGCAATTTTTATTCTTATAAAAGTAAGTTCACTCCATGAAAACCGAGGTATATGACACCCACAGCTGTCTTCAATACAAGATGAACGATAGATGCGTTGTCAGCCGAAGGAAATGACTTTTTGAGGTAAGTACTGGTTTAGAAATACCACCGTGAATATTTAATTTTGGTGTATTTTAGTGTGAAAAGCCGAATAAATGCAGGTTGGATGAAATGGCGACAGGTAACTGGTAAGACTCCATCCAGATCCAGATCCAAGAATGCCTCTTAAGCTTGAGGGACAGATCTACAAGTCCATCATGAGACCTGTTGTATTGTATGGATCTTAATGTTTGGCCACTAAAGTTGCGGATGAAAGAAGATTGCATGTGGCTGACATGCGTATGTTAAGATGGAGGTGCGGTGGAGAAATTGAGAAGCAAAAGGTTAGCGTGGTATGGACATATGCGGCGAAACGATAGGGACATAAACCAGAAAGTGTTAAGATTGGATGTGGATGGCTGCAAAGGAAGGGGAGGACCGAAGAAAGCATGGATGGATTGTGTGAAAGAGGATAGGTTTAAGAAAGATGTGGATTCAGATATGACGGCTGATAGAGATGTATGGAAGAACAGATAAGGGCAAGAGGATGATGATGTTATTTTAGTGAGATAAGAAATTGGCAACTGTCGGTAAAAAAAACAACAAAAACGTACAACGAAATATATTTGTCTGGATTACAAACAACGCCATCTAGTTGGCAATGGAGAAACCAACGTTTCCTACCTTGATTTGTTTTCCTGTAGATGGCGCTAATGACAAAATTAAACCGAATATTGTATCTTACAATGTTTTTAAAAAAATAAAAAAAGTTAAGTCACTAAATTCATAAATTGACACGTCACTTTACACAAACATATTTGTACAATATTAATTTAATTTTAATAGATTCAAAATGGACGGCATTAACAGACTAAAGCTAAGTAATAATCCTTAATTCTAACTATTCTAACAAAAAATTGAAAATCGACTTCGAGACAGAAATGTCCTGATTTTAGTACATTTTAAAAGCTGAAAAAGTAATAAATAATCTTTGATTTTGAAAAAGTAGGATCGAATGGCAGCTATCCCGCATTAGAAAAAAAAGAAATAACATAAATCGGTTCATAAATCGCCGTGAAAACTATGTAAAATTATGTACATACAAAAAAATACCAGACGAATTCAGAACCCCTTTTTTGAAGTCGGTTAAAAATCAAAATACAATGCGTTTCAAATAAGATTGTAACGTTCGTAACACCATTTTGTAACGTTATAACTCACAAATAAAAAATAAAGTTAAATCTGAAACTATACTAATATAATTATATTAGTATTATACTAATATTATATTATATTAGTATATAGATTCACGACAAAACTACTGGGCCTATTTCAAAAATTCTTTTACCATTAGAAAGGTAATTTATCTGTAAGTAATATAGGCTATACTTTTTTATTATTTTTTAATTTCACACGGGTGAAATCGCGAGCAACGGCTAGTCTCAAAATGAAAAAGAAAAACATTGTTTTACTTTTCTAACAAATTTTAACATAGCAAGATCCCGCACGTTCTTATCTAAAACGCATAGTATTTTCATACCTAAAATAACAATACTTAAATATACACTGGACGAATCTATGTAACAACCATCAAATTCATATAAAAACATTTCTGCACATACATTTTCTTACAACTATACTTTAATACTAAGAGTATGCACAGCGTTGACTAAACTATCGCACAACTGTTTAGTTGCACTTAGAATCCTATGAGCTATGGAGATACACAACTTGATTAGTTGTGCTTAACAGTAGTACAAGCAATATGACTACAAATTGTACCAAACTTTTTTTAAGTATACTTTATTACTATAAAAACATTCCTGCAAAGATTTTTTTTTAAATATAATGTGATTTAGTGGCAAAATTTAATCATTAAAAAGTGTCTTTTTTCAAATTCCTCGCTAAGTTCTAAAACGCACACTATTGGTCGAAGCAAGTGGCTTATCTAATATGGCGTCGCTGTGTTGACAATACACAGTTCAGTTACGTTAGTTTATATAGAAATACACTCTTGAAGTATTTTACTGTAAACACGATATCAAAACCAACTTCAAAATAAAAAATAATGAATAGAATTATTAATTACCACTTATTTGTACTAGGAATAATAAAAATGATTTTCGACTTTTTGACCTTGAGATACTTTGTTTTTTTTTTACGTGAAGTGACATCTGAGCGTATGTTATGAATGGAATAAGACGATTGACGTCAATTGTCCCATGTCAACTCTGACCGCGTTTTAGTCGCTCGAAAATGGTCGTAATTTTATTTTATTATTTTTAGCTCAATGGTTGAATATTTTCGCGTGAATTTTTTTCTGGTTATTTTATAACAAGTAGAATCGTTTAAAAAAAGAAAAAAACACATGTATATTCCCTATCGGCTGCGAAACAATCGACAATCGCACAACAGTTGTGCGATAGTTTAGTCAAAGGCGCCCTCTAACAGACGAATTGTGGAACATTACATATTTAAATATTTCGCTTTTCAGTGTCTTAAATGACAAGGCCACGATTAAATTCCAAATTACATTAAAATCGACGTCTATTAACTGTTACGAATATTTGAGATTCGTTTCAGAATTCGGCCGTAACATAATTTAAAAAATCAATATTTACTTTGTAAAAGAAAATTATTACTATATGGTGTAAAAATGTAAAGTTGTAAAGTAAAATTATTAATATTATCTTAACTAAAGGACTAAACTAAATACGTGAATATTAATATTCGACCAACATTTCAATATTCGGCGACTGCATATCCAATATTATCTGATACTGTGAGAACACACAGAGCCAGCAGTAAATCTGAAAAAAAAGTATTGAATGAAATCTAAAAAAGTTAGTAACCAAACTTTAATTTAAAAAAATAAAGAGCTGACTAACTAAATGTAATAGATAAATATACTCAAAAATATTGAAAAGAAAATTTAGAAAAAAAGTTATAGCAATTGAAATTTGAATTGGGTTTTTCTATAATTCTTCCCTATCTATACATTTTCAACTTTTTCATTCATGTAACTTTTACACTGTTAACAAATCTATACTAAATATATAAAGAGGAAAGATTTATACTTTTTGGATTTTTGTATGTATTGAAATAACTCAAAAACTACTGGGCCAATTTCAAACATTCTTTCATTATTAAAAAGTTCCATTATCAGTAACAAAAGCTATAATATTTTATTTTCACGCGAGCAAAGTCGCGAGCGACAGCTAGTTAGTTGTATACTCACATTATATGCCATCCATAAGAAGTCAACAAGTGCAGCAAATGTAGCATCCAACTGAAAATATAAAAATGCATTAAAAACGAGCATAACCACATCTCAGCATAATTGTCGGTCATTTAGGTTCCAGGCAGTTACAATCAAGTCACTAAATGTGTCCGACTAGGGGTTCAGGTTCAGAGCCTACCCTAAATCAGGGGTGACTAGGACATTGTCTTACATACTAGCCCACTGCGGGTTGACTTTACACATTTCTTTCAATTTACTGATATGTGCAGAATTGAATTATGATTTCCTTTACAGTAGGAACTTTGGGAAAACCTATACTAATATTATAAGGAGGAAAGATTTGTATTTCTGTATTTTTATATTTTGTATGTATTCGCGTAGAAACGAATGGGCCGATTTTAAAAATTCTTTCAACATTATAATTTATCTATGAGTTACATAGGCTATGTTTTTTATTATTTTATGATTTCACGCGAACAAAGTCGCGAGCAACAGCTAGTGTACATATAAAACTCAATAAAACATATAAGTACATAGCAGGAATCAAACCCTGGACACGCAGATTACAACTCATGTTTATACACTGAGCCATAGACACCCTCATGTACTTTAATCTATATCTATACTGATATTATAAAGAGGAATGATTTGTATTTTTTTATTTATTGACATAAGTCAACCACTACATGGCCAATTACAACATTTCTTTCACCATTAGAAAACTATAATATTGCTAAATAACAGGCTATAGTTTCAAATTTCATATGGATGAAGTCGCGAGCAACAACCTATATGTGATAAATGTTATCCTCTACAATCTGTCAATTTTATAGCTTCGATATTACACTATCTTTTTTTGTCATTTGGCAGCATATAATAAAAATACATCTATATTATATACAATATCAATGTTACTTACATAAATATAATATCCACCGAGGAGCCATAACCCAAAAACAAACTGGAATAATATTATTAATCCCATTGTAAATAGCCATGGTAGTATGAAACCTCTCATCCAAATGTTAATACCAATTACCTGTAACAGAAAACACAATTTCTTAAAAATTCAACTAACTTGAACCTGGTATTCAAAAAAATGTACTGGCCATATTTATAAGACAAAAACAAGTAACTTTCTACATTCTAAAATATGTTAAAAAAATTTAAGATTAGAATATAAATTGCAAACAAGAGATTAAAATAAACCTTACTTGTATACTATAGTAAGAGTGGGCTCGCTCCTTTGCCTAAACTATCGCACAACTGTTGTGGAATTGGATATTATTTCACAGTGTATTAAACTGTTTAGTTGTACAACTAAAATTCAGTAGGCGCACCTTCATATAAGGTCATAGGAAACAAAGCAAGACTAAACAGTTGTGCGATAGTTTAGTTTCAGGTGTGCACACTCTAAGAACAGCAATGACAACTATTATTTGACTTTATTGGACCAGTAACTATTAAAAATCTCTAATTTGCAATAATATATAGTTTAAAGAAATTCAGAAGAAAATTAAGATAAATGGAATTATTTGATCATACCATTAATATAGATGAAACTATGAGGGTAGTGAAAATAATTATGAAGATGATTCCAAATACTTGTAGAGCTGAAATAAAAATGTTGTAAATTAGTACAATTTCAAAATGAAATAAACAAGTACTTATAAACATAACTGCTGAAAAATCGATGCATACAGCTCTGAACTGGTAACAAAAGTACATATCATACAAACTTAATTAATATGTGATGAGCTGTCTCTTTGCCCCTTATACTATATTCTAAAAAAAAGATATGGATCAACAACTATGAGAGAAGCTGCGTTTCCCGCCTGGCAACGCCCATGTATACTAATTATCCTTTTCTTTGCAAACTAATAAGAAAAAACTTACATCCTCTAACATCAGCTTCAAATAAAGGATTCCAAAGTTGTGTAGAATCTCCTCCAGCCATTTGGTAAGCAATAAATGTTATTAGAATCAAACTCATTGCCGCTGTGTACACTGCCACAGCTCGGCTGCCGGATTTTACTGTCGAAGACCATATACATGGTGACCAGCAAGATTCTAACACAGGCATCGTCAATGGACTATTTCTTCACTTAATTTTCACAAGATTTCTCTTAAATATGATTCAAAGTACACGTTAAACTATTTCTAATAAGCGTGCCACACCTACAATCACAGTTATTTCAAATAATTCTGCCACAGTTTTAATCGGTGTGCGAACTTTAGTACAAAATCTATTGAATGTTTATAGTGTTAACACGAATTGTTATTGCGATTTCATGATTAATTTAATTCAAACTTTCTAGATTTTTATATAATTTGAATCAAATCAGAAGTTGTTTAAGCGTTTGTTGTCACTTGTCATAGATTGAAAACAAAACACAGATAAAGTATGACATGACAATTGAAACAAAAGGATATCAGAATACAGATAATATATTTTGTACATTCAACATTTTTTTTAATTTATACTTAAAATGCTAAGAATACCAATTAATTAACACAAACATATTAACAGAATCACAGAGAGAATATAAAACCCAATTTTCGTAAGTTAATAGAAGGAAATTTTTACCTGGCAACATTTAGAAGATTAATAAAAACAAAAAAAGGATACAGATTGCTTGATTAGGGAACCAGACGCGATAAAATATTTAGATTTTGGGATGTGTTTTGGAGATTAACATCTCCCTCTTCACCACTCGTGGAAGTTGAAAATGAAAATAAAGAGTAAAAAAATACTACTTGTCGTAAAATGTTAAATACAATGTTTTAAGCCTTAATACTACAGACGTGTTTTGTTTCAGCCTTAATATACCACAGGTTCGTTTCCGTGGCCGTGCTCTGGAGGTAATAGGGACAGGAACTGACGTTGATCGCAATAGACAAAACCAAGAAACACAGCTAGTTTATCAAAAACTGAATGCAACATATGTCATGCATCAACATTCAACCAGTCTCGTCCAAGTTCCGAGTGCTTGACCGATAAATATTGTAGAAATATCAACGTAATCGGTTAAACTCATGATAATGCGCCGGCGCGGAGTTACGTCTCGCGAAAATACTGCAATGTCAATAGTTGATAAAGCTAAGATAATTTTTTAGAGTGTGCAGTCATACATTTTACAGCTGTATATTACAAATCCAGTACTGGGAATGAACAGTAGAATTTTAAGTATTTTAGGATTTGAAAGCTGAGCCGTAAATTACCCATTTTACTCTCTAACTCTCTACTACTCTATTACCGGTTTAAGCCGTGCTACCGCCCTGGGCGAGATATCCATGGCGTCCCCTTTTTAGCATTTGGTTAAAAGGATTATTGAGACTCTGTCATTTGCAGACTGACGCCCTTTTCTATCCAGCGCCCTGGGCGGTCGCCCTATCTCGTTTAACGCCGGCACTGGATGTATCGACTTGTGTAAGTCTCCTAATAAAAAGCAGTTCAAGAAACTTTATCATGTACTTGTGCATTAAAGGGTTTTAATTTTTAACTCAAATAATTTAAATTACACACGTGTGTTAAGCAAATGAACTCTTTTATATTTTTATCCGAAAACGAGTTCACATTAAAAATGAACTCATTTTGATCTATTTTAAAATAAGAATAAACTATTTTTTTTTCATTTAATTTATATTTTCAACTGCAATAAAATCTTTTTTTTTTAGTATAAAACGGTTTAAAAACGAAATACTATGTAAATAGTTTGAACATTTCATGAAGATGTTATGGGTAACTAGTTTTATATGAGAAGTTACTGTATAAACTTACAATCCTATAAACTCTACTAATGCCTTTGTAAGTATAATACGCGGTAGCTCAGAACATACTTAAGTAAAACTTAGGCTTTTTGTTAAGTTTTAGATTGTGTATTAAAGGGATGCTGATTTTAAGCGAGTTTTATAATTTACGGGAATGAATATTACGTATTGCATAAAATAAATTGAATACTGTCGTGAAGTAAGAAGCGGTATCGTGCATGATCGCGGCCGGTTCGGCGACGACGTTCGTACACTCGGTGACTTCATACCGGTTTGATCAGTTTTAGATCGGTCTGCGCCCGCGCGACCGTTCCGTTCATATTACGAGTCGGCGCGCTATCGCTTTTTTTATTATTTTGTATCTTAAAAATCGATATCTACACTTTTTTACTTAAACATTAAATAAAACTGTGCAAGAGTGAGATTTTGTTGTGTTTCTGTGACATAACCTTAAAAACATTGGATGTCGATGTTTTTTTGCAGCGCAACTTTTGCATTCGAGCCTTGTGTTGTGTTGAAGTTTTGGTACGAGTGAAATTGGTACCGGTACTGGTCTATGGTCGGTATCTGATACCAATTAGTTCAGCGAGTCAAGTTCATTGTCAGCGGTTTAATCAAGATTTGAAAACTGGTGAGTGGATTTACGGGAGAGACTTTCTTCATTGTTTCTTATAAGATGTTTACTTCGATCGAAGTACGGTGTTAAAACTGTACGAAGATACTTTTCGTCTTCATTCGTTTCAAATTACTTGAAAGTTGTAACTCTACTCGGGCATTCTTTCTTCGTTGTGTAATTATGAATAAAACTGTTTCCTTTTGTTCAAGTTTTTAAAATGAAAACTGGTGACTAATTTGCTAAATAACCAACCCTAGTCTTACTAAAGTACTAACTCTGGCTAAGTAAGTTTTATTTGGTAGTCAGCTCCGATTGATAGGTATAGTAACCCCCCAATTTGCGTTAATGCAGATAATGTTTTCCTTATTTTTCTTACTTGTAAGATTCACAATATATGCATACGGGTAGATTTTGTACACCTAAAATATATAACGATTTTATTATGGTTAAAAAAGGTATTAAAAATAAAATTACGATCGAAGAAACGACAAAACAAGTTGACAAATGCCGTAATTACAAGGGCAGTAACATGCCAGTGAGTACAATACTTGCAAATAGGGGTGTCAAATGCAAATGTGCGATAAAAGAATTTCTTTTTACAATCTAAGAAACAAGAAAGTACTAAAAATGGGTGGTAACGTTTATAAGGGTATTGGTGTAAGGCTGAGCTCTTTGATGACGGTTACTATTTTATGGAAACCTCTTTTAATATGAAATACACCGAGGACCTTCTTTTATTTCGGGGCCAATATAGCTAAAAGCACAACCATAATTAATTTACTTTACTTGATATACTAAATTGGCGTAGCGACACAAAGTGTTAATTAGCGTCTTAAATAATCTGTTTGTGATTCTTTATTTTTATTACTTGAGTATGGAAACTATTTTTGTCAGCCCTACATATTACAATATACAAGATTGAGCGGGTGTGCATGGGCGTTGCGTTTGCATGCATCGTATGCACTGGGCATTGACAAGAGAAGTGTTACTTGCGACTTTGAGGTGTGACTACACTTAACGATTTACCCACGTGAAAATTCAGTCGTGAATAATACCTGGTTTACACTTGGTTGTAGACAGTAGCATTTGATAACTGGTTTGTGAATACGATCAGTGAATCCATACAATCTATGCCTGGCCTGCTGTACTGGAAAATGTGAACCAGGCATAATGCCGTGAATTACTACTGGCGAAATTTGTATTAAAATATTGAAATCTAAGTGTCTCGTTTCATTTGAGCACAAGAAGTAAAAATAATTAGACTATAATTGTTGATTTAAGATGTTTTGATTTCTAGTTGTAATTTCTTACGATATATGATACTCTACAAATATAGATCGAATTAGACGTAAAGGATTTTTTTATCAATGAATCTCGGTGTAAAATTTGAATATAGAATAAAAATATAGCCTTAAAAACATGAATAACGTCGAAGTTAGAGAAAATTTAGATTTATTAATGTTTGCTAAATATGTACAAGTGTATTTTATGGAGATTAGTTACTTTTATAGTATGTAAATTATATGTTTATTACTTAATTAAGGAATTTATTCTATTTTCATATTAAAACGGCTTTATTACATTAAATAGGATTCGATTTGAATTTTAGATTAATTTAGTTATAAAAACTTTTTATACAATACCTACATCGTACTTCTGTTATTGACAAGATAACACTTTTTTATTATATTTTATAGATGCTTATTATTAACTAGCTGTTCCCGTGCGGCTTCATCCGCATAAAATTATGAAAATTTTATTTTATTGTTTACATGTGTCAGGTTGCAAATGTCAAAATGACATGATGACAAAGCATAACAACCTTGATGTTGACAGCAATTTATGGTCTTTTTCCCATATTATGGTTATTATTCAAAATATTTACCCCCTAAGTTTAATGGCGTGAAAATGTATAGCCTAAAGCGTGACGTAAGTGTAGGGATTTTTAATAATAAAAGGATTATTCAAAAATATGCTGTAATTGCTGACATCTTAGGCAACAAAGTGTGTGTTTACCCTTTATTATAATAGATAAATCAAATATTCCTTTTTAGTATGGGATTCCCAAAGTTCAACTATAATAAATTTCGTTTAGTAGTCCGCCCATGCAACCTCATAGAATAAATACAGATGCGTTGGTGTTGGCTTCTATCCTTGTTAAGAAATGTAAATGTGTTTTATTACGATAATCCTTGAGTTATACTAATAATCAAATTATTAAAGATGTGACAAGTTAGTGAATTTTAAATAAAATATTGCTGCTATCTGACAGGAAATTATCGATTTTATTGTAAAGAATTTAGGTATAAATTACTTTGTACGGATTAAGCTATTTAAATTCTGTTATCATCAAATTATTGAATTAAACTAATTCGGAATTCAATTTTATTATTTATTACTTGCATTTCTTTGTTAAACTTTTATTTTTATACTTATTAGTGTGAGACGAAAGATATATTTATTTGTTGACAACAGTTAATATTATCATCTAGTGCTAGTCATCATCAAGAAAGATATAGAAGAAAAATCTTTAAATATAATGTCAATATCGTGAAGTACTTATTAAACAGCGCCATCTCTTGGAAGATGTCTTTAAACTATACATATTGTCAGAGCTGAATAAATGCAAATTAACTTTACAGAGTACCAAGTTGTCAGTGCTTATGTATAAAAAAGTCCTACAGTGCAACAATCTCCAGAATTATCATGGGAAGTGTGTTTCTTATCATTACCAAGTTTCCATATCATTTTTATCGCGGTTCACTTAAGGTATCTGGGTTTATAGGGGAAATCAATAAAATGATTCAATTTGATTAGGTTTTTATCATATATTCTATATTTGACATGGCCTTTTAAGTGATTCTGGACATTTAAGCGCAATTGTTACGTTTCTAAGTATTTTTGTTCTAGTATTTTCTACGATATTCTTCATTTAAATTATAACATAGATTAGTTATTTTCAGACTGCTAAGACAAACAAAAGGCGAATTAATCTTCATTTCGATTTTTAAAATTAAAAATAAACCAACATAAATACAGATCTAAAAATAACTGGCTGGTAAGCATTTATTCATCTGAAGGCACGTTGACAAACAATTGTCAAAAGGACATTGACCTCTGTGTTAAATTGGCAACACACGATGCCCGATGTATTATTATTCTTTTGAAAAGATTTAATACGACTTCGTTTCGTTCTCCTGACTTGAAACACGATACAGCCTACGTTCATAAATAAAATTTAGTTTGCAGGCGTCTTGTAGGGTTCTGTAGGTGATTATATGCAGAACAGATAATTTGACAGCCTTTTGTTTATAATCAACGATTTTCTTATTATTGACTAACTCTCCCGCGACTCCGTCCGCGTGGAATTAAAAAAAACAAAAGCAAGTAGTCGATGTGTTCTTCCAGACTGTCCTCTACATCTATGCCAGTCATTGAGATCCGTCCAGCAGATAAGGCTACAAACTCTAACATTCATCCATCCATCTAAACTTTCGCATTTACAAAATTATTAAGATTAAAGATGGCCTTATTATGTAAATATTTCTGTAGAATATCAGTTTTAGTTTTGTCTTTGATTGGTACGAAGTTTTCGTTTAACAAATACGGAACCCTGTTTGAGATAATATTCGAAACTGGAGTGAGCTTTCATGAGCACTGCCGGTTCGAGCCACGTTTTGTTTATAGTATATAAGATATGATTTAAAACCTTGTTCTCATCAATCCGTTATCGGATTCTGCAAATGTTACGTACTGATATAATGTTTTTAAAATAAACATCGGTACGGTCTTGATTTACACATTAAAACATTTTTTTGTATGGAAGATAATATGTTATTTAGAGAAAAATCTTTAATCTTACTTAAGAAGTACTTACAAATCCAATAGTTTAGATGGATGGATGTTAGAACTTGTGCCTAAACTGCTGAACGGAGCTCGATCATTGACGTTAATTTAAAATATAATGAAAAATCATAGCCGCCTATGTTACTCACCGATAAAATACCTTTCTAACGGTGAAAGAATTTTTAAAATCGTCCCAATAGTTTTTTAATTATTTCAATACATACAAATATACAAAAATACAAATCTTTCCCATTTTTAATTTTAAGTATAGACCACTACCTATGAATAATAAAAAAACTTAATTAAGAAGTGTTACGTTGGCCATAGAAGTCCACATTTCAATGATTAAAATCATTTAAAAACAAGTCAATGTATAACTAGAATATCCAGATATAGTGTTACATAATTATTTAAAACGTTATCTCTGAGTTATTAAAAGTAGTAGTAGCATATGTTTTTACAGATTATTTTACACATCTAAGGGAAACATTGAGGTCAGTAGAGCCATTCTGGAGATACCTTCATCCATCTATCCGTATCTATGTAAACTTTTACATTTCTATACTTATATACTTATATTATAATATAGCGTTAACACACTTCTTTGTTGCCTAAGATGTCAGGAATAACAGGATATTTTTGAATAATTCTATTTTTAATAAAAAGCCCTAAACTTGCGTCACGCTTTAGGCTATATATTTCAACGGCATTAAACTTAAGGGGTAAACATTTTGGATGAAATACCATAATGTGGGAAAAAGACCATAAATTGCTGTCAACATCAAGGAAGCAAGGTTGTCATCATATCATGTCATTTTGACATTTGTAATTGATAATTTGACAGATGTAAACAATAAAATAAAATTTTCATAACTTAATGCGGATGAAGTCGCACGGGAACAGCTAGTTTAATATAAGTTAAAAAAGAACTTAAAAGTTAGAAAAGTTAAAAAAGAAAAAAGAACTTACAATATGATCACGTATTTAGCAGCAAGAGAATGTATAATATTGAGTACCGATAGGTCTAATTACGTTTTTTCTTTACTATTCACGTTATAACTATTATTTTTTTAAAACTGTTAATCATACTTTTTCATACTAATATTAGAAATGCGAATGTTTAGATGGATGGATGTTTGTTAGAGTTTGTAGACTAAACTGCTGTACGG